GTTTTGCATTTCGCGCAAAGCTACACGAGGGCTATCTGCGCTAGCCGTCCCTAATTTAGCAGTGAAAGACTTGAAGGAAGGCAACTAGTCATCATCCGCGACCCTCAGATTGCGAGTCAAGTGCCCTAACCATATGGCTATGCCGGGCCAGTCCATACAGGATTAAGGAATGTTTCTGTAAGATAATCACAATGTGATGATGTTTATACAAGGAAACAGACGTTACAATTAATAGATCTGCGAACTTTTGTTCTTCCATATTTTTTATTGATAAACATTTCTTACAACACATGTGGATGTACACTGAACATATAAGTGTGAGTTAATGTTTGGTGATATTATTCCCATAATGTTCTAATTTGTCTTCCCGCAATTTCATTTACTTTTTTTTTCCATTTTGTTGTTGTTCAGAACACCATTGTACTATGAACATTTTTGCCAACTCCTCAGCCCCCCCAGTGGCACAGCGGTATGTCTGCGGACTTACAACGCTAAAAACCGGGTTTCGATACCCATGGTGGGCAGAGCACAGATACCCTTGTGTAGCTTTGTGCATAATTAAAAAAAAACAAGCCAACTCCGCTTGTGACAAGAAGAATTGGGCTTTTTGGTTTCAAAAACGCTTAAAATTTTTTGAGAGTCGCGAGTTGTGGTATTTTGGGCTTGTTTTACTTCTGAAGTCGCTTATTTTGCCTTTTTTTATGTAATAGTTCACTTCAACCCACAGTAAAATGTTTGTAGGAGTGGTTTCGGTGATTGACTGGATCAGTGAATAGCCTATAGATCGTTACAATTTTAGAATTATCCTATCCCTCTCCTGTTCAATTACAAAATACACCCACAATCGTGAACTTTCTGTTTCGCCCACTTGACACATTTCATATTCCATTTGAACCATCCAAATGGCCATTTTGAGAATAAGCCATAAAAGAGCAGCAGTGCCGCTTGTTTTGGGCTTGTTCTGAACGGCACTTTTTTGGGCTTGATTTGAACGGCTCAACTTTGATGATGACTCAATACAGATGATAAATTTTTCGATATTTAATATCCAAAGTAGTTATCATTTGTTCTATGCAAGCTTTCTGCTGTATTTTCATTCGTTTATATTTGAAATTTAATTATAAACAAAAAATGACTTTTTTAACTTAAAGCGGAAGTGAAAAAATGTGTGGAACGTAAATTACTCCAGTTTAACATTTTTGTATTGTTAAAGTGACAGAACCACTGCTATTAACTTCTATTCTGGTTTAACATTACGCCTAAAATTTGTATGCATTACTACATACGTGGGCTACGTTTGATGCTTTTATTGCAAAGTGCATATTTCTCAGAAAGTTTAAGTATTACCGCCACACAATACGGAAAATATACCGGAAATAATGAAAAGCTCTATCTGCCTTGGTTTACATGTAGGAAATGTTGCTGTGAAGTACATGAGGAAGTAGGTAATAAAACTATATAATTTTATAACTCAGATACTGAGATGTGGTTGTTCAGGGAACACAAAAGAAGAACCGTATGGACTGATTTCCACAGATAGAATATCACTGAAATAACTCTATTAGTGGTATCAATATCATCACAAAAACTGTTTGCTTCTAGCACTTTGCGTTTAGAAACAAAATTGCACTTGTATCTAACCATTCAAATGTTGCTATGTATCATATCTAATATAGTACTGGAAACAATGATACAAAGGTTAAAGCGATATAATCGAACTACATCCTTCAACAAACACATTTATTTAAAGATATATCACGTGATTCGGTTCTAGAATAAATATATTGTTTGTAAATAAGCTTGGAAATACGTATTGCAAATTATGTTTAAAAATTAAGTAAACAGGAAAAGAAAATCAAATTATCTGCTGCACAGAGGCACTCACAGATTTTCAGCTTTGTGTTCAGGTTAAGCGTTGCAAACACAAGCACTGACCAGTTTTCTTAAATCCTAATCTCACTGATAATCCTCGTCAGATTACGCCCTAATCTCATCCTATATTGCGCTGTAAGATATAGTTTTTTACGAGATCGTATTATCACGATCAATGTAAATAAGTGCTCGTAGAAGACTTGTTTTTGTTGTGATCATCATCATGTTTTATCTTCATCAGCCAGTTAGCTAGGTTGCAGAATGTTAAGTGTCTTAGTTTACGAACACATTTATGCTAATATTATGTGAATTTAATGGAGGATTTAATCTCTACATAACTTGTTTGTGTCAACTCATTTTTTAAGATGTTCATTTTAGGATACTTTATTTTCTAAAATCTGCCGAGTGTGTCCCACAACGTACGTCATCACTTTTAATCTTCAACATATTATCTTATTGTTAACGTAACAGACATACAAACAGAAATTGTTTAAAAAAAAAACTATTCTGAAATATGAGCTATGGTTAAGTGACTGTACCGGTACCTTAAAGTTTCTGGAATTTGCTGGAAAACTTTGAAAAAATAATACATGGCTTATTAAAATCTTGCGAATGACATCATACTAGACCTTAAAGCCTATCCAAAGTAATGTACGAAATAACACACTTTCAGAGTCCCAGACGTGATTGTTGACATTAATACGTTATTTATGTAAATCAACACAAAATATTTTTTATTTTGTTTAAAGGCATTAACACTCTTCTTTAAGAACTTTTAAGTCTCAAAACTGGTAAAAAGTGCTTTTCTGAACGTAGTATAAACATTACGGCCGAGAAGTAGAACATAATTTACCGCTGAAGTACATGTATTAAACCAGTAGTTGAAGACAACCACTTTTACCGCTGAAGTACATGTATTAAACCAGTAGTTGAAGACAACCTATGAATTACATGTATATCCAAGAGCCACTGAGTTATAAAATACAATAATGAACATTCTTCGAGACAAATATTTTGCTAAAGTTAACGCCGGTTGAAACACAATATATATATATATATATATTTATTGATCTTATTAACCAAATGTTTTAAATTTATTATTGTGATATTATTTCTAAGATTGTTTTGCATTGTTAGTTTCGTTTACAAAACTATTGCTTTATATGATTCATTTACAAATAAGTTTTATTTTATTCTTTCTTTTGTTAATGCTTTCGCTGAAAGTGTTGGTAGAAATGCTTGTATTATTGTACTTTTATTATAAAAATGTGTTCACATAGTACATGAATTACAGATTAACCCAAACCTTCTATGCTGGCCGAACCTTGTGAAGTAAAATTGGGTTTATGCCCGAAAATATCTTTAACAGCTAGGGTCTCTAACTGAAGAAACACTACATTATTATCTTTATAAATAAGAACTTTTAGTTACCGGTTTAACTCTTTTTTTTTTAACTGACAAGATAGCTTGCTTTAAGCATAAGTTTATGTTAAATAGCCACCAGAGGCGCTGATATGAAAACTCTTGAATTGACATCTTTCTACCGCGTTAGGAGTGTTTGTTTGTTGAATTTCGCGCAAAGCTACACGAGAGCTATCTGCGCTAGCCGTCCGTAATTTGGCATTGTAAG